CTTACCCTCCTCCCACCCTCCCACCCACACCACCCCTTGCGCGCTTCTCTGGATCCCGCAGAGCCTGCCTGTTTCTGTCTTCCATGGCCAGGAGGACGCCCCCAGGACCCACCTCCTGCCCAGTGGCCCTGGGAGGAGCTTGTCCCAGCAGCCCCAGAAGGATATTGGTGCAGCAGGGCTCAGACCCTGCCTGTTTCTGTCTTCCATGGCCAGGAGGACGCCCCCAGGACCCACCTCCTGCCCAGTGGCCCTGTGTGCAGCTTGTCCCAGCAGCCCCAGAAGGATATTGGTGCAGCAGGGCTCTGCAGAGCTGGGCAGTTGGCATGAAGACTTTGTAGGTCAACAGGAAATCCCCAATCAAGGTATCTGAAAGCCACAAGCCCCGCAGGAGTTAAAGTGCCTGTGCCCCAGACAGGACCCACCGGTTCTGGGCCCAGCAACAATCCCCAGACATCGACCATCCCCTCCACAATCTCACTGAGCCCCCCCCCCCCCCTCCCAGACATCCCAGCCCCCTACTCCCACCATCCCTCCACAGCCCTGCCACCCCCCTTTGCTCCCGCCATCCCCCCACATACCTAGGGGGTCCGAGAACGTTGCATCCAGCCTCATGGCTTCCAGCAAATACTCCAGGATCTTATCAGGGGTCCCAGCCATCACCGAGTACCTGGAGGACAGAGCACACCCAGGCATGCCGCACTCCCAGGGTTACAAAGCCTCCTCCCCTAGCCATGTGGGCCCTGCCACCCCCCTTTGCTCCCGCCATCCCCCCACATACCTAGGGGGTCCGAGAACGTTGCATCCAGCCTCATGGCTTCCAGCAAATACTCCAGGATCTTATCAGGGGTCCCAGCCATCACCGAGTACCTGGAGGACAGAGCACACCCAGGCATGCCGCACTCCCAGGGTTACAAAGCCTCCTCCCCTAGCCATGTGGCCGAGCTCTAGCTCACCCAGGCCCTGCAGAGCCTCTGTCTGCCAGGCAGCCAAGCACAGAGATGCCGCTGCCAGCCCCACACACGCTCCCCACCTGGCAGCTGGGGCCCCCAGCTCAGCTATGTCCCAGCATCCTTTGCAACAGGCACTACAGCTGCCTCCCTCGGTGGATTCTGGGGCCAGGGGAGCAGACGCTGCAACTCCCTGCCCTGCTGTGTCAGAGCCTGGGCCCCTGCCAGAGGCGGCAATGGAGCGGGGGTGGGGGGCTGCCAGAACCAACCAATCTGACGGCCCTGCCCGGCCGGGTTTACGGCCCCCCGCAGACGGAGCCGGGCTGCCGGAGCCCCAGCCCTGCAGGTTCTTCTCCAGCACTAGCACCACCTTCCCGTGCTCCTTCAGGCGCATGGTGTTGGCCTCGACGTCCTAGAGAACCCAGTGTCAATGCTGCTGCACCGGGTTCCCGTGAGATGGGCAACAGGGCTGGGCAGCGCAAGGCCTGGGGCGGGCCCCGGAACAGGGCAAGGACTCAGGGGTGGAGTGGGGATGGGGGCAGGAGTTCCACCCCCTTGCTGGGCAAGAGATGCACCAGGTCCCTCAGACTCCTCCCCAGGGCTGCTGGTCCCTGCGCTGGGATCTGCTCCGGC